AGAGACTTTACTACCAGAGCCTTGATTTAAATGAGAAAAAGGCACTTCTTCCACCAGGTGGTTGTGCTCCTACCCCAGACATGGGGCTTGGTGAATGGTGTATGTGCTGAATTTCAGCTCTCCCTGCTCGGAGTCCCTAGAGCAGTGAGCCACCCACACACACATGTGCAAGCATGCACAAGCCACTTCTCTCTGGATTTCAGTGCCCTCCTGTATGAGAGAGGTTAGGTTTGATCGGTGGTATTCAAACTTTTTAAAAATCAGAAAAACATTCATTTATCAAATAAAATCATATTTGCAAAGATTCTTGGGGCTCCAGGCCCTCCAGGACACAGGCATCTGGGCCCCTTTCCTTTGGAACTGAGAGGAAGGGTAACTAATGTTAATCAGCCACCATCAATGTACAATTTAGAAAAATAAACTGTCAACTTATACAGCCTCTTCCGTGAAGCACAATTTAAATACCCCTGGACTAGATGATCTTTCAAGTTACTTTCAATTCTGAATACCTTTTGCTTCTGAGAAAGGACTAAATTCTTAGACAAGAAACTATCTTGGCCCTCCAGTGTGGACTGGGGAAGCCACCATTTTTACCATAAAGCATCAGCTGCAGGCAAAAGTTCTGGACTGAAACGTTTCCTTCCAGGGCCATGAAGTACCATCCCTCATCCTCCTTCCTGCTTTCCAGGATTCCCAGGCTCAAGTTCTCCAGATAAAACTTATAGCGGCTCTCTACATGACGTGGAGATTCCCCTTTAGACAAATCAAGAGACACTATTTTCTTCTTGACGCTGTTTCCTGGTGATTTTGCCATGGTAACAAGGATGTGAATGCTTCTGTTCATGCTCTTATTTATCCCTTCATATGTCAGGGGCAGCAACACGTTGCTTCCCAGCTGCCGGAGAACTTTTGGGCAGTTCATCATGCCCCCACCTGTGGGAGGGAGAAGAGAGTCCCTTATCACAGAGGCCTTGAGAACCACTTCGTGTCTGGATCAGGAATGACAGATTGGAGGCTGTCCCTTTTCCTCTCGAGCTAACCTTGGGGTTGCCAGGTCCTCAGTGGTCTGTTAGGGACTGCCACAAGGGCCCCACTATATTCTCAGTATTTCAAAATCTCAATGGAAATCTTACAATTGCTCAGGATAGAGCTGTACAGACTAACTAGAACACTGGGTTCCTATCAACTCAGATTTACACTGAAGGCGCCTAACAGAAAAGTTAAATGGACTAGAATCAAGGTCTGTTAATTCCTCTATCAGGGTTCTCACCACCACTGGGAATATAGGATGAAGGATAAAGAGCAACTAAAAATGACTCTGAACTCATGAGCCCAGGGGACCAAGATTACAGAAGTATCCTTTCAGATGATGAGGAAAACAGCAAAGTCTGAGGAGTGAGCAGTCTGAGAAGTGGTGAGCCTGTGGTTCAGACTGTGGAATCCTAGTATTCCAAAAAACCCTGAGAAAGTTAATAATGTCAAGGGTGACATATTATTTTATTTCTCTTTTTCAAAAGAGCTGAGCCAACAAAAAAAGGAAAAAACACACACACACACACACACACACATACAGTCAAGAAACCAAAAACCTTTCAAACCACTAGAAGGGATCCTACTGCTGATTATTTTAACACCTCCTCTTTCTTCAAACCCGCAACCTGCCTCTCTCCCTCCTTTCTCAGCTGACGACCTTGCTTTTTGTTTTACCAAAAAAGTAGAAGAAATAAAATGAGAACTTCCATTTTTGCCACCACCCAATCAACCTGCCTGCCTGGATGGACAGTGTGTGTTCCCACGTGAGGCCAGACTCCTCCACGGAGCACTCGCCTGCTTTGAGGCTTTGCTTCCATAATTGCCCCACCCTTTGCATCATCAGTTTTTTACTGGGTAATTTCCATCGACGCACAACATACAGATATGTAATTTCTCCCATCTTAAAACTCCCTCCCCTGATCCCGGGTCCATCCCCAACTACCTCCCATTTCTCTGTTTTCCTTTATAGCAAAGACCTTTAATGTGTGTTTATACTTTCTGTTCGCATTTCCTGACCCATTTTTCCTTAACTCTAAACAGGTGCTCTTCCCTACTGCTCTCTGGAACCACCTTTGTCAAGGTCACTGTCTATTCCGTGAAGCCAAGTCAATTCCCTGTCGTTTCTGTACTTGCTTCCTCATGAACACCTGACACGGTTCATCACTCCCTCCTTGAAACACTCTTCATTTTGCCCCTAAAACACCATAACTCTCCTTGTTTTCCTTCCATTTGATTGGCTTCCCCTTCTCAGTCTCCTTGGTGAGAACCTTCTGCTCTTCCGGACCCCTAAATATTGGAGCACTCCAGGGCTCTGACTTACCTTAACTCTAAACAGGTGCTCTTCCCTACTGCTCTCTGGAACCACCTTTGTCAAGGTCACTATCTATTCCGTGAAGCCAAGTCAATTCCCTGTCGTTTCTGTACTTGCTTCCTCATGAACACCTGACACGGTTCATCACTCCCTCCTTGAAACACTCTTCATTTTGCCCCTAAAACACCATAACTCTCCTTGTTTTCCTTCCATTTGATTGGCTTCCCCTTCTCAGTCTCCTTGGTGAGAACCTTCTGCTCTTACGGACCCCTAAATATTGGAGCACTCCAGGGCTCTGACTTATTCTCTTCCCCATCCGCACATATCCAGCCTTTCATGCAGTTGCATTTGATATTTCTAGAATACTTACAGAGTTATATCTCCCACCTAAGCCCTTCACTGTACTTCCAACTGCATACACAGATCAGTATTTAGAGGTCTAAAGGGCATCACAAAATTAGCAAATGAACTTGCTTCCATAGCTCCTTCTGCAAACATTACAATTCACCAATTTCTCAGGCCAAAACATTGCAATCATCCTTGGCTCCTTTCTTTCTCTCACGCTCCACATTCAGTCTAACAGCAAATCCTGTTGCCTCTGACTTCAGAATATGTCTGGCATCTGGGCACTCTGCACATCCTCTTTTCTAGCACCATCATCACAGGGCTGTGAACTGCCATTGACATCCAATTGGTCTACCTGAACCCATACAATGGACAGAGCAATCTTTTAAAACTATGTTCAATTTTGTCTCTCTCCTGCATTTGAATTTCTGGGGCTTTCTAGCACCCGTAGAATAAAATCCTGATTAGTCCTTGATTGATATGGCTTCAAAGACCCTGCAGAACCTGTTCCTGGTGTCGCTCTGACTCCATCTCCTGCCTTCTCTCCTGCGCTCACTGCACTGTGGCCACACTGGCCCGGCTCTTCCTTAAACTCACCAGGAATGTTCCTGTCTAAGAGCTTTTGCATTTGCTGTTCCTCTCCCTGGAAACCTCTTCCCTTACATGCCTGGATAGCTCATTCCCTCACTTTAGTTTACGTCTCCACTCAAAAACATTTCCTCTGAGAGAACTCCTCTAACCATCTACCGAAAATCATCTTCCCCTTCCTATTTCATTTATGGCTACCAATGCTATATTGTGTATTTGTTTATTTTATTTTTGTCCCCCCACTAGAAAGTGAATCCCCCAAGAAGAAGAACTTCATTTTATTTACTGTACTGTCCCTGGGACCTAGAACAGTGCTTGGCACAGAGGAAGACTTTAATAAATATCTGTTCAATGTATGAAGGCTGAAAACCATGTTACCTGACCAAAATCTCTCTTATTTGACTTTGCTTAACATGTATGTAACTGAACTGAACCATAAGCTAGTGCTTGTAAAAGGAGCCATGACTCAGAGAGAGCACAGATTGTTTTAGTTGATAAGAAAGAAGAATAAAATATAACCATCTGGTTAAGTAATGCAGCTACCTTGAAGAAACTTCTCGACAACTGACTTGTAGTTAAGATGAGCTGTTACAAAATTGGGCAAACTGGCCAAAATGTTCTTGATACCAAAATACCCTGAAATCCCAGCACTGTCCAATAAAGGGCCCAGTTAATATCGGACTGGAGATTCAGTGATTAGGAAAAAAGAAAAAGCAGTTTACCGCTAAAGTCAGGATTAGAATGGTTGAGACTCATAATTGTTAAGGAAAAAATGAGAAAGGCAATTAGATTATTGTTCTTTTAAATATTGCTAATACATCAACCCTTAAAGCAGAGTGCTCTGCCCTGTCACTTGATTAGATAAAGCAAGTTATTGTGGTGGTCATGGTCGTTGCTATTACATAGATAAATTGGAAAGCATGATCGGCTTTCCTCCAGCCACATTTATAAATACTTGACCATCCAGATAATATGGCTCCTTTGGTGGCCACATGTCTGAATTGTAGGCACAGTACCCAGGTGAGTAAATTCTTGAATACTGAACCTAAACTTTCATACATAAAGGAATGAAAGAAAATTTAGAGCCGTATGTGCAAGTATGGACCCCCTGAACTTGTATACAAAAAGTAGTGTAGATAAGCATACACTCATTTTTTCTCGGAGCATATCCATAAATGCCATCCCTCAAAGGGAGTCCAGACAAGATTAAGAATCACTCTCACACTGTTGGGTTTTTAGACCCATTTTGATATGGAGAAAAAACAGGAATGGAAACTATTCCCATCCTCAGACCATAACCCTTCACCCTCACAAATGTCTCCCATGTGCCCCTTCCCCCTCCTAACCCTGCAGACTCTTTGCACCATGGTTGCTTTCAGAGTTTGGAATTTGATGGGGTTAGAGAAGAAGAGGGGATATAAGGTGAGACAGGCAGTAGCCAAAAGAGAGAGAGAGAGAGAAAGGAAAAAAGAAAAGAAAGAAAAGAGGAGAGGAAAGAGGACAAGAAAGGGGAAGAGCGGTTGAGAAGGACGGGCTCAGTGGTTTACACACTTGCTCATGGGGAGTGGAATCCAAACTTCATCAAGAAGAGACCCTTACACCCCACAAGCCACATAAAGAGCATGATGCAGTGTCTGCGTGTGTGCGTGCCCAGGTCTGGGGGGGTGCTTGAGATCATCCCCACCAAGCACAAGCGGAAAAATAAGTGGGGGCTTTAAAGTGGTTCGTAAAACCCTTCAAGTGGAGTCCCGGCTCCTCAGACATCCTACTGCCTGATGAGTGTTTTCCAGTGGGCCTGTGATTCAGTCAGCCCCTGTTTACTAAAAGAGTCTGGGAGGAAACATTTATAGCTGTTACCACCAACTCACTTTCCTTCATGGGTAATTCTACTTTGAAAGTTGAGTGATTCACATGGGCCTGTGGATATTGGCCTGAAATTAGCAGGATTTAGCCAACCCTTTCACAAGATGGGATTCTACCTAACGATAACATTTTTGATGTTGTTTTTTTTTGTTTGGTTTTTTGGTTTTTTATTTTTATTTTTTGGCCTGGCCCATATACTTTCACACGTGCTTTTAGTATCTTACTGCAGCATTTCTTTCAGATAGAGCAGGACTTATTGGCCCCACAGTTCTTATGGCAAATTTAGACCCAGAAAGAAAAGATAACTTATTTAAGGTTCCTTTTTAAACTGCAGCCCCATCAGTCAAACTCCCATTCCTCTTTCCATGCTGCTGGGTCTTTCTATCTTCAAGTATTCGCACTGGCCGTTCCCTGCCCTGAAGGTCTACAACCACCCTTTAACTGCTTTGCTAACTCCTTCCTTCCTTCTGGTCTCCATCTCCACATCTCTTCCTTAGGGGAGACTTATATGACTCCTAGTTTAGGTAAGGTTTTCCTGCCATACGCTTCCAATGCACTTTGCATCTCTCCTTCATATCACTCATCATGTTTTTCACATGATGCGTGTTATCCTTGTTCAATAATAAGCTTCCAGCAGTAGGGACTGTGTCTGTTTTATTCACTGCCACATCCCTAACACCCACCTGGGACATGGTAGGAGCTCAGTAAATCCTTGTTGCCCACGTGAATGAATAAAATGGGATGGAATAAATGACTGAGTGAACAAATGACAGCACAGGATCTAAGTTCTCTTCTCTCCGGGATCAGAATGTATTCTGCTCAACCTTTATAGCACCCCTA